GCTCTCTCCAGCTTTTATAACACAGTGAGACTTGTTTATTATATGCTTATTCATATATTTCATAAAGCAAATATCATATTTGTATTGAAAAATAACTTTCTACTGCCTATACTTTTATTTATATGCATGCTTTATTTTTCTATCATAGTATTTATAGAAAGCATGCCATTGAGTTTATATAGTACCGTACTCTTTACGTATTGCTTTGATATTAAAAAAACACTGAAACAATGGGCTGGATTTTTTTTTATTGTTGGGTAGTTTTGTGAGAACAATTGTACTAAAGCCAACAGATAATACTTTTTGATTATACATCAGGCTGCGAAAACAATATAATTCAGCCATCTATATACATGTATATACGTGATTATATTGAAAGTTCACGTCATATTTACATTTGAAGACATTCATTTGACAATCGACTTAGTGTGTGATGGAAATAAAACTTTTCCATAAGGCACAGATCTTGTAAAATGATTTTTGCTGGCATTTATTACACTATAGCAGGCACAAATTCACTATAACATTATCCAGAAAAATAACACATTTATGTTGATAAACATTGATTTCACCACAATTCAAAGCACTCTTCTAATGGAGATCACAAGTTTTGACCTGGTTGCGATTTGAACAAATTACCACTGGTGACGCTTTCAAATACCTTCCAATCATCTAAAAAAACTTTTTTAAAGCTTGGTTAAGTCTCAGTTTGTACTCGTTGATCTGCACAACAGTCAAAGTCACCATCTTTGTTTTTTTTTGTGTCCCTGTTGAAAAGATTGTATTTTGTAAAATGCCAAATTATCCAAATCAACGTTCACAGCATAAATTTGGAGTTCAATCTCTGTGGAAAAACATTGTTCAGGCCCACACATGTATCATCCTATTCGCAATGGATTATGGTATCACAAAGAGTGGACAATACGTCTTTGGACTTGCATAAAATACTTGATCGCTGGGTTTCACATTAAACTAGTACTTTAAATGCTAAATTGCAGGACCGACACATTTCCTCAAAAGACACCTTGCCTCTCATAAATTCAAAGATGAAACACTAAGTTTTACTCTATGAAACCAGAATGGCTGGGTTCACACAACTGATCTGACAGGCACGCTCACTAACACAAAGTCTGTCATTGGCTTTTGGGGCTACAAAATTTTTACCAGTTACCGTACATCATGAATATTCAGCAGATCTTGCTAACACGATTCACCTGTCAGTTTGAAAAATTGTATGAAAATAATGATTATGAATTCCTAAAGGTTACATGTTTACTGGTAGACATGGTCAACTTTTCCATTACCGTACTAATTTCATAAAAGACATGAATATGCATTCAAAAGTATTACCAATTTCCATATCTTTATAGTTTTGGGGACGATTGTTTTTAAGTCAAATAAAGCCAGACAAGGATTCTTCTAGGATATAAAGTACAATCAGAAATAAAATTTAGAGGCCTGCGTCATTTTATTTCTGATTCCACTTGTTCCCTTAGTGTCAATCAATGAATGCTATGAATTTGTGTAGAAATTTACATCTAAACGTTTGCGATCATCTTTGCTATCATTTACATGTAACAGTTTGTTTGAATTTCATTTGAATAGTGTTTAGACACTGATTCGTCTGTTTTAAATCGAGACGCAATTCGTAATTCTAAACAGAGGCAAATCTTTGAAACTCTAAAAGGTAGATTGAATCAAGCAAATAAAATACGAAGATCCTAATAAAATTCCTGGTTTGACAAGAGAACAAAACATCAGAAATCGCCACACTAAGATATTAGTTGCTTTATCGTTTAAAAAACACAGCCGTCAAATTGTATATTATAAAATAAGTTTATTTAAAGACGTTTTCTAAAAAATAATCAGATATGGGAAAATTAGCACTGTTATCACACAGGCAAGTAAATGCATTTTTTAAAAGAAACATAAAAGCACAAAACGACATCACATTACAGTTGAAAACATATCAGGATAAAAACATTGTACACAAACAATTAAAACAGTTGTTTCTCCCCAAAATGGCAGTGAAATTAAAAATCAGCATCTAATTCTATCAATGAATACCCCCTCCCCTGTGTTCCGTATTTGCTCCATTAGTAGTACATGTGCTTAAATATGCAAAGTACAGAGGTGTTTCTATTGCCAAAATAAGTACTATTTAAATGATTCAGTGGAACAAATGCAATGTTTAGCAAATTTGCATTTCTAAATAATATTTTTTTTTTATTTACATCATATTTAATTATGTTAATTTTGGAGCCAATGGAGATGCACCATCATACACTTGTCAAAAATATTGGCTGCAAAAGGTCCTAATTCCAACTCCAATTATGCAGAATCCTAATATAAATACATACAGAGAGAGGGACAGATTAAACACAAACTAAATAGACTTCCACTACAACTTTGTACACAGGCATCAAACATATAAGCCACACATAAAATTTTTCCCTTTTTAGCTAAAAATATTGGAGCACAAGCAAAGGATGATTTTTCTGTGATTCTAAAGATCTACTTGATTGTGTAAAGCATAGTCAATTGGCCTAAAAGCAATAATTAAATGCTAGTAAATGTGATTAATCTACATATATTTACTAGCCTCCTTGAATACAGCTTGAAAATAAAGAGACAAGTTGGGAAACAGGTCTTTCAGCAACATTAGACCAATAGCTAATAAAATTCCACCACATTTATAGTTTTTGCTCAGAAAATTCCTTGCATTCAAACACTTTCTTACACGAAGAACCTAGAACACTTTCCCAGGGTTTTTTAAACCAAAATAGTCATCTAACTGCGAGGCTGTCACTGACTGTCTCCTGGCTCTTTAGTTTCAAGCCTGTATTCAAGATGGCTGCCCACCCATAGTAAATATCGGTGAATTAATCATATTCATTTTGTTATAAATTTGTAATTACACTGTGATATTAATTTACTGTTGTTTACACTGTGCTTTGTCTTCTTTTGGTTCAGTAAACTTGGTAAATCTCGGCACCCCATTTTCTTGATTCAACTGTCCTCCATTATGGGCACTGCCAACTGGTTGAGTTGCCTTTATTGGGATCTTTTCTATGTTTGGTGCAGACTTCACTGGACTGTTGACACGAATGCCATCAGCTTTAGCTTCTAACAAGGGGAGAAAATAAATTATTATGTTATGAAAATATAATCCAACCAATTGGAGGAGATGCAGGCAAGTAATGGTGGAATCATTTGATTTCCAATGGGAAATGTCAGTATATCGTAATTTTTTTTTATCCAAAATAAGAAATCAAGAAATCCTTGAAATTAAAACTATTTGAGGACATGACAGGTAATGATGTCATTAAAACATACATGTAAAAACTAGGGTATCTGAATATGCAGTGTATTGTCTAGACGGGCCCAGCTGTGGAATTTTATTGTTTGATATGATAATGTATTTAGAATCTTCCATGTTGACAAGAAATTACCACGACTGGTCTATACCTGTCACCACATTTTTGTAGTGATAAATATGCTAATGACTTAAGCTGCCAACCAATCAGAAAGGCAGCTTTTGTTCTGATCTGTTCTACACATGTAGCCTGCAGCATAGTTCCACTCCTGGGTTCCATAACATCATTGCGTATCTTGAATAATTAATAGCAATGAATACGACTCAGAATAGACTAGTCGTGGTAATTTCACGTCTGACCACAATTTAAGAAAATAAATGCCACGGCTGGCCTAGTCTATGTAATAAACAAGTCATTGTCAATGACACGTCCCCGTTCCGTTCATATTTGAGTGACATATACATTCAAAGCAGATCATGACTGAAATGCACCTGCATATGTATAACACATTGTACTAAATCTGAACAAAATCCATCCATGCATGACTGAGATCCGGTTCCGTAATTGTGAAAATACGTGATTTTGATTTCGAACTTGATCCAGAAAAAAAAAAAATGACGTGCATCAAGGTCCTATTATGTTTAATGTATGTACCAAATTTGAACAAAA